TTTTGTTAGGACGGCGGTTTTCGGCGGCGAGCAAGAACACCAGACCTGAGCAAAAAAGGAGGAAGTCTCGAGCGGGAGCGTCGTTGTTGTTGTTGTTGTTGGTGGTGGTGGTGTTGTTGTTGTTGGGGGCCGGTTTGGGCGGTCCCCCAAACCGCTCGAGCGCGAGCCTCAATTTCAATGAAAATGTAGCCGGCGCCTCGGCGAGAGCGCCAGGGCGCATTTGAGGGGTCCAACAACAATAATTGTGTAGCAAGTAGCATTCGACGACAACAACAACACCAACAGCAACAACATCAACAACAACAACAACAACCACCACAACCACAACAAGGACACAAACGCCAAAAACAACAACCACGACGACAACAACAACAAAAACAATCACTTTAAGACTGTTCGCTCCTACCTGCTCACGTGCCAATAATATGTATATCCCAGCCCCTCGGTACCCGCCCTCGTCGTCTTCGATCATACCCCGTTGGGGGTATATCTTTCTTACCTGCCACGTGCATGTAATGCAGCCCATAAAGCAAGGGAAGAGAAGACGGGTGTAAGGGGGAGGTGGTAGAACCAGACGGGCAGATCGGGTGGGCAGACCCATAGCGGGCAGGTTGGGAAGGCGGGCCCAGGCGACCAGGCCAAACAGGCGGGTTGCTGAAGCGTGGGTCGTGCATGAATCGCGAGGAAGTCTCAAGCGATAGCGCGATTCCCAAGTAAATCGTGAGAAACGCCTGAGCGAGAGCGTGATTCGCGCCGAGGGCGCATCGTCTGAATAAACTGCGAGGAAGTCCAACGCCAGAACGCAATTCGTATACAATTTGTGAGGAAGTCCCGCGCGAGAGCGCGATTTGGGAACAGATTGTGGGCCCCGGGGGAAGCACTTCAATTAAAACAAATACAAATGGTCACTCGAGGGTGGGGATCAACAATAGTTATTCTCCAGTAGTGAGAATTCAACAACAACAACAACAACAACAACAACAACAACAACAACAACAACAACAACAACAACAACAACAACGAAACAATACCAACATCATCAACAACAACGGCAACACCACCAACCACAATCACAACCAGAACTACAACAACACGAACAACAATAACAACAACGTCATCATCAACATCGTCATCATCACCATCATCATCGTCTTTGTCATCGTCATCATCAGCAGCATCGACATCAGCATAAGCATTATCGTCATCATCATCATCATCATCATCATCACCACAATCCTCACCCTCCTCCTCATCATAAACATCATCACCACCATCTTCGTCATCACCATCATCATAAATGTCAGCATCAGCATCATCGTCATCCCCATCCTCATCATCCTCGTCATCATCATCATCGTCGTCATCTTGATCATCATCATCAACATCATCAGCAGCAGCATCATCATCACTATCACCATGACCATCACCATCACCATTACCATCACAGTCATCATCACCATCACCATCATTCCTCATTCCTCATGTCTCGTTTCTCATGTCTCATTTCCCATGCATCCTTGTTCAGACATCCCCTTCCTTCTTACTCCTCCTCCTTCCTCCTCCTTGTCATCATCATCACCATCATTCGAATGATCATCAGCATCACAATCCCCATCAGCACCATCATCATCACCACAATCACCATCACCATCACCATCACCATCATCATCACCATCATAAGCATCATCATCATCAGCATCAGCATCAGCATCAGCATCAGCATCAGCAGCATCATCATCATCGTCATCAGCGTTCCTCCTCCTCCTCCTCCTCAGCCTCCTCCTCCGCCGCCTCCTCCTCCTCTTCATCCCTCATCCTTAGTCCTCATTCCCCCTCGTTCCTCCACCACGCGATGGGCATGCACACGACGCTCGCCTTGACGGATACGCACAGGTTCCATGACAGCCTGGACTCCGCCTGGCTGGCGCGGGCTGTGGTCAGCTCGAGCTTCCCGGCCCGCGCTCCAGCCACGGAGCTGCAGGGGACCCTAACCGTGCGGCCGCTTCGCTGACGCGGGGCCTGTGCAGGCTGGTCGCTGCTGGCAGGACCCGGGCATTCCCACAGCGTGGCTGCAGAAGGAACACACAGTCTGTGGGAAAAAACACGCACCCACACACAGTGTGTGTGTGTCTGTGTGTGTTGTCCACAGACAGTGTGTTGTTTTCAACTGTGTGTGTGCGTGTGTGTGTGTGTTGTGTGTTGTGTGTTGTGTGTTGTGTGTGTTGTGTGTTGTGTGTTGTGTGTGTTGTATTGTGTGTGTGTTGTGTGTGTTGTGTGTGTTGTGTGTGTTGTGTGTGTGTTGTGTGTTGTGTGTGTTGTGTGTGTTGTGTGTGTGGGTGCGTGTGTTGTGTGTGTGTTGTGTGTATGGGTGCGTGTGTGGGTGTGTGTTTCCAACAGACTGTATGCATTTTCCACGAGCTCCCCTGCAAGTGGTGCTGCGGCGACTCTGCGCTCGAGCACCGAGGGCTCACCCGAAGGGGGGGCTCGATGGCGCCAGCGTCCAGGTCTGTGGGTCGGCAGCCGCGGTGTGCACCGACGTCGTCCACGCCGCTGCTGCGCTGCTCGCGGCCCTGAATGAGCGGTGCCTTGAGGTGGCTGACAGGTCGACGCTGCTGAGCAGCAGCCCCCGAACGTCCAGGGCGGTGGTGGCGGAGCTCAGGGCGCGGGGCACACTGCTGCAAGCGGTCACCGAGTGCCGCGACCTGGGCATCGACCACGCTGGCTGGACCCCGACCCGCAGCACGCGTTGCGCGCGCGCGCGCGCCCTGGCGGCGCAGAAGCGGCCCAGCGCCGTAGGACAAGAAAGCTGCGCATGACGAGTAAGCGGCGGGGCCGCAGCATCTTCGAACAGGGCCCGCTGCGCGAGATGAGGAGGCGGCGTGTCCGCAGCACCATCGGCCAGGGCCCGAGGGCGCCGCTGCTCTGCGGCTGCCGAGCGCACGGTGCTGCACCAGCCGAGATCTGGCGAAGACGACCCGCCGTCCCTGGGAGGGCAGGTGCCCCGTGGCACTGCTGGACCTGGAGGGGCGCGGTCCTGCCGTGGCGATCTGCGAAGGCCAGCTGCACGCAGGGCTCGACTTCTTGGGCAGAACCTCCCCAGGCCAGGTAGAGCGCGGCCGAAAATCTACCGTCGCCTCGCCGGCAGGGGACAGGAATCGGCTGCAGAGCTGCGGGATCGCGGGCAGCCGGATCCTTCACCCAACAGGCCGGCTCGCAAGGGACTCTGCTTTAGCCCGTGGGCAGCCTCGCTTGCGCTGTGTTTTGAGATGCGTCGCGACTACAAATAACATGAGGGCAACTCACTATTACGGTGTTTCTGTGGATGAATATGGAGCTGCACGACAAAGAGAAAGGGCACTCTCGCGAAGCTGTAGGCGGTCGGGGCCATTTGCCAGGCCGCTGGTGGCCTCGGCACCGCTTAGCTATCCCGAGCTCTAACGCCGTTGCCCATGCTCCTTGCCCGCTGCCCTTCTTCCTCGTCCCCCCCTGCTCTGTTTCCCCGTTGCAATGCTTCTCCACCTCCTGGTTAGGACCGCCAGCATGAACCTCTAACTGTAGGCGCTTGAACCATGCGTCACAGCGCCCGAACCATAGAGCACCACCCCTAGGGCACCAAGGCAAGGCGGTGAGTTGAAATCATCGAAGCATGGCATCGCAGAGCACCCGCCACAGAGCACCGCCCATAGAGCAGCAGAGCCAGAACAGGGAATCGCAACCATCGGGGCATCATGGGGCATGGGCCACGGAGCACCGCCCGCAGGGCACCAAGGCACGAACGAGCACTCGCGACCACTCAGACACTGCAGGGCACCAGCCATAGGAGCACCACCCGCCAGGGCATCGAGGCAAGAACAAAGCATGGCAGCCATTAAGCCAACATTGGGCGACAGCCATGAGGCAGCGCCCATAGGGTACCCAGGGCAAGAACGAGAAATGGCAACCATTCAGACACCACAAGGCGCCAGTCATAAAACACCACCCGTAGAGCACCAAGGCAACAACGACACATCGCAACCGCTAAGCCATCCTCGGGCGAAAGATGCAGAGTACCGTCGATATAGGGCACCAGGGCAAGAACAGGAGACCGCGAGCATTAAAAAGCTTAGGGCGCAGGCCATAGAGCACCACCCATGGAGCCCCAGGCCAAGGACGACAACTTTGTATGTATGTCCAAACCCACTCAAGACAGGCAAGCTGCCTTTAGCGCAAGCGCTACGTAGTGGTGTTATAAGTTCGATGCTCTCCTTCTCCCCGTCCGCGTCCCCCTATACTTACCCCCTCTTTACCAATCGCAAGTTGGATACTTGATGGTATGATTACCATCCTCGTCATCCTCCATCCCTTGTCCTTATAGACAACTCCTCCCTATCGCACCCCGAGGCCGGTCGAAAGGGCGGGCCTGGCGTTTCGCCAGAGACTTCCTTACCATGTTTGATCCTGAGACTTACAGTTTGCAACAGTTTCACGGATGGATGGCGTTCCGTTTTCGAAATGTGGCTCTTGCCTTCGCGCCCCGCACAGTCATCTTTGAAAACTGCAGGAGCTTCACACATGGAGGGTGGGCCGCTTCCAAAATGTGGCTCCCG